TTAATGATGGAGTTGGTTCCAAGGTCCAGGAACCTGCAAGCATTGCTATCTTTAGCGAAGCCAAGAAACACATATTTGTTAGCCTTTGGTCCGAGCTTAGGCCTTCTGATATCTAGAATTTGAACATATGCGAGACACCCCCACACTTTGAGATTATCCAAAGGATCTGGATATGCTAACCATAATTGATGATGAGTACTATCAGTTTTGGAGTAGGGTACTCTGTTTAGAATCTAGTTTGCCATCAACAAAGCCTCTCCCCAATAGCAGGCAGGAAGACCAGATGTGATTAGCATCAAATTCACCATCTCGGTCAATGTGCGATTCTTTCTTTTCTGTAATCCTATTAGATTGCGAAGAATATGGAGTAGTAGTTTTAGCAATGATTCCATGCTCCTTGAAGTATGCTTCCGACTCCTTAGATCGGTATTCTCCTCCTCTGTCGCTCCTGAGTCTTTTTACCTACAGTCCAAGTTGCTTCTCCACTCGAGTCTGAAACTCGACAAATTTGCTGAAGGCTTCATCTTTAGATTTTAGCAGGTAAACGTGGCAAAACCGAGAATGGTTGTTGATGAAGGTGATGAAGTACTTCTTTCCGCCACGAGTGACGAAGCTTTTGAAGTCACAAGTATCTGAATGAATCAGATCCAACAGGTTGGTGCTCCTCGTAACACTTGAAAAGGGTTTCCTCATCAGCTTTGCTTATGCGCAAACTTCACACTTCTCAGGTTTGTTACCCTCACATTTTGAAAGTAATCCTAACTTCTCCAGGCTAGACAGTTTTCTATAATTTACATGTCCTAGTCTATTATACCATAATGCAGTGGAGTAAGAAGAATAGGATACTTTATTTATAACCTAGTTAGGTGCAATAGTACTGATTTTATACATACCATCGGTACGATATGCATTGCCAAAATACATTTTCTTAAAGGATAATACAGCCTTACCTCCTTGAAAATCCAGCCTCATACCTGCATCACATAGCAGGCTTCCAGAGACTAAGTTTTTGGCAATTGAGGGAACATGTTTTACATCCTTCAATGTGAGAGTCTTTCCTAAAAAGAGAGTCAGCACCACAGTCCCAGTTTCAAGAACAGGAACCATAGAACGATCGGTCATTGATACGTTCTATTTGGTAGCAACATAAGAAGAGAATAGATCTCTGTTGGAGCAGACGTGACAAGTAGCACCTGTATCTAACCACCAACCAGAGATGTTGTTAGGAGTTGTTACCTGAAAGAGCATAGCTATACAATCATCAACTTGATTTACATTGTGTGTAATTTCTTTCTATGGTGCTTTGCAGTCCTTGGTAAAATGTCCTTGTTTCCACAATTGAAGCATTTGCCGCTCTTCTTGAACTCCTTCTTCTGAACATTCAAGTTCTTTGGATTCTGGTTCTTCCTTTTGTTAAAGAAATTTTTCTTCTTGTTGAAAGATGAATTATTACCATTTTTAGAGTTAGCAGTCATCATGTTAGTAGACGCCTTCTGCTTAGCAAGAAGCTCAGTCTTCGTGCGAGTCCGAGTCTCGTCCTCGATCCGAATGAATCTCTTCAAATCAGACAGAGTCACCTATCTTTTCCTTCTTCGAATATCAGTGGAGAATAACATCCAAGATGGAGGAAGCTTGTTGACAATTGCACCAGAGATAAAGGTTTGACAAAGATTGATCTTTTCATCCTTCAGCTTCATAACAAGCTTTTCAAGCTCTTTAACTTGAGGCAAAAGCTCAGTGTCATCTTAAAACTTCAAGTCTAGAAATTTGTCAATGAGGTGAGATTTGGATAACTTCTCATCATCCTTGTACTGGTCCTCCAAAGCATTCCAGATTTTCTCTGCAGAAGGCTTGTTGGTGTAAGCATCTGCCAAATGATCGGTCATGCAGTTAAGAAGATAACTCCTCAGAAATCACATTGTATATTTTCAGGAGTTGCATCCAGAAGATTATTTTCCGACGTCATGCATTGAACTTGGAACCGTCAAAGTTCTCTAACTTAAGGCAGTCCACTCCAAGACTCCTCGTAGGATCCATGGTAGATTAAAATAATGCTTTAAGATTATTGGCGCCCGTGGTTAAATCTGGAATAATACAGATATATAACAGCAAAAACTGAAGTGCAGTAATTTAAAATTTTTCAACTCAGCTGCTGTGCGTTTGTAAAATGTTGTGCTTAAAGCATTATTTGGCCTACTCCAGTACAAGGATCCCAAGGCCAAATTACTTCCAGGAACATGAGTCCAGTACTCTGGTGTGCACCTACCCAGTACTATCAAGATCTCCTTGATCTATAAGGCAAAGATCTCATCGATCTATCAGGTAAAAATCTCCTTGATCTATAAGACAAAAATCTCATCGATCTATCAGGCAAAGATTTCCTCGATCTATAAGACCTTCTCGGTCTAGGCATTGTTCCTACGAGCACTAGCTATTCTATAACATATATATCTGTATATATTGATTGTTGTTTTTAGAATAATTTTTCCTTAAGTATTTGAGCTCTATTTATAGTATTTGGAAAAGTACTATGCACTAATAAAATAATATATTTTATTATGCATGTGGGCCCCACATCCAAAATTTTCTTCTATGGGGCCCATCACTTTTGAAAAAATAAAGAAAACATGGGCTGCTGCAGCAGCCCATGTGAGGTTTGAAAAAATATTCAACAATGACTCCCTATAAAACCCTTGCTCTCATCTTCTCTTTGCAGACAGATCAACTCTTCATCACTCAATTTTTAACTCCTTAATCACTCTTCTCTCATGCGATTAAGCTCTTCTCTCCAAGTAAAGAAATAAGAAAGAGAAGGACAGAGGAAGTTTCTCACGGAAAAGAGTGAAAGAAAAGAGAGAAAGAAAAAAAAAAGTTATTATTCATTCGGAAAAATAATCTGAGGAAAAATATAAAAAGATGCTGTTTTACAATCCTTGTTCACTCTAAACACTGTTCATCAGCACTGTACCGAAAACTACTATAAAAAATTTCACTCTAGTACTGTAGTAATTGCTGTTCATAATTATTGTAGCAATTCTTTTAGGGTGTGTTTGGGAACTTGGATTTGGGCATGGATTTAAAATCCAGGGTATTTCAAATCCAAATATCTAGTTTGAGTTCTGATTTTGGCCTAGATTTTGAATCAATTGATTTAACAAAGATTAATTTGAAAGCCCAAAACAAGTGATTTCAAATTCCACCCCACCCTTTATCATTTATCAAATCCCGACCCGATCCTCTCTTTCTTTTCAAGTCGCGATCCCCTCTCTCTCTCTCTGGTTTTGATCTCTCTCTCCCCCTACCCCCGCCCTGCCTCTCCCCCTACAGTCGAAACCCTAGATCTGATCTAGGGTTTATATTGTGTTAATGTTGGATTCATGTTACATAACTTGCTTATTTTCTTTTTCCAGATTTTGAGAACTAAAACATTGTCTTGCATTTGGATGAGTTCTCTTTTGCTTCTCCCCAAATGATTAAAAACTCTTTGATATTCGTCTACTAAATGTAAACCTCTGATTTATTTTGAAATTTTGTTTCGTTAAGGGTCATTGTTGTTTGTTACTTGAAGTTACAACATATGTACGCAGATGCTGAACTTTTGAGATTTCAACCACCTTTGCATTCGGTTATTAATCATTCAGTTATAACCTAGTTTGCATAATTTGAAGTCATAAAACCCATTATACA